CCCCCCCCCCCCCCCACACCCCCCTCCCCACTCCCACCTCCTTTCCCCTGACATCAGTGATGTCAGTCTCAGGGGTGGAATACAAATTCTCTACTCTGGAGAGAGACGCACAGCCCATGCAAGAACCACTCCCTCTTTCTATCTCTCTCCTCCCCAACTCTCTTTCCTCCCTAGAAGAGCAGCTGGTCTTGATAACAACCCTTCCCCCCATCTTACCCCCCAATCAGGAGCTGGGCAATACACTAAGATGGAGAATTTATAGAGGAGCCCTAATGTGGGGTCCATTGTTCCGGGGGCTGGAGCTGTCCCCGGTGCTGGAAGAGGAAGAGAAGACCCAGGAGATGGAAGCTGGGGGTGGGGAGTAGAGGGGAGTCTGGCATTTGGGGAACCTGAGAATGAGGACCTAAGGAAGGAAATGAGGAGGAGAAACAGAGAGAGCAGGAAGGCAGGCAGGTTGAGGGGCAGGAAGGGGGGTGTAGATGAGGAAGGAAGCAGTCACAGGGTCTGGGGGAAAAGAGCAAAAGTGAGGTAGAGAGGAGAAAAAATGAAAAGAGGTGTGAGGAAACGAGAGAGAAGTGGAAGTGAGTGCAGAAAGAGGTCTGTGTATTTTTCCAGAAAAGGAGGCAAGAAAAACTATAGCAGTCTGGCACTTGCCGAACCCCCTTCCTTCTCTCTGGGCGGTTTGTGTGTATAAGTGCATGCATGGGCAGGGAGGCGGCAGCTGGCGGCAGCTCTCACTTGTAAGACCCTTGAAGACCAAGACATTCATTTAACTCATCCTACTGTTCACAGAGTGTAGCATGGTGTCTTGCTCATACATAGTAGGTGCTTAACAAACACTTCATGCAAAGAACCTGTGACATGTGGAGATTCTTGATTCCTTCAATGGGAGCAAGCACTGCTCCCCTCGAGGGCGAGTACCAGTTACTCCTTTTCTCTGAGTCAAATGAGAGGAGCCAAAAAACATATTTAGGAACTATTACGCCCCCCAAACAATTATGCTTCTAAACCTGATCATGCATTCCATGATCCAGAGGAAGGTTGGCCTTCTCTGCTCATTCTCGGTACCTGCTCTGTGTAGGGTGGGTCTGTGGGCAGCAGCTCTCAGTGGTAGCTGTCCTGGTTCAGGCAGCTTCTGTAGAATGCCCTGCTTTCCTGTTACTCCATTCACCCACCCAGGGTGGAGCTGCTGTCTCTAGAGAGGAGTGAGTGTCTCTGAGACTCCCAGACACATCCTGGAGTCCTCCATTCCTGAGTTGTCACAGCAAGCAGGTTCCTCTTCTGGAACTGAAGTAACAGAACCATGTGACAGGCATTGTTCCAAATGTGTGAGAGTTTCTAACTTGTTAAACACACCACCCTATATTATATGGATGAAGAAACCAAGACAAGGGTGGTTAAATAACTTACCCAAGGTCACACAGCTAGAAATACATCTAGCTGAGGTTCCAGCCTGGGTAGGGCAGGTCCCGAGTCCACCCAACATGAACTCCTGCAGCCAACATTCCATGTGGGAAGCCGGCCTTCCTTTCCCTCTGTGCTCACTGGAGCACTGCTTAAGACTTAATGCTTCCTCCCACTGCCCCTGTCCCCTGGGGGCCACTTCTGCCTTCTTTAACCTGGGTTTTTGTGGCCTGAAGCTACATTCTGGCAGGTGCACATATTTGAGTGAATGTCTGTGTAGAGACTTGATTACACTTCATCATACAGATGCCCAGGTCCTCCCAATAGGGCGCCCTCAAATGGAACAAGAGAGTGAGGTAATAGGGGACTCCATGTGAGTGGCTGGGAGATGCCACGGCAGTGCCAGGGGACCAGGAAGTGGAAAGCTATCTTTCTCCACAGTAACTTTCCATTCACCTGCCCCACCCCCTACTTCTCCTTTCTAATCTGATCTCTGCATTCATGGAGACGATAAACAGATCATGCCCTGTGAACATGGGGGACCCCATGGATGGGCCCACTGATCTCATTACTCCGTGTCTTCTCAGCAGATCTGCCGCCCTGCTGCTCATTCAAGCTGGGGCCTAATCACATTAATTGAAATATTAAACATCCACAAAAACGAATTTCAATGAACCCCTCTGGCTCCTCCTCCCAGGCAGTAACCAGGAGGTAGCTGCAGACAATGGATCCTGAACTCAGTTTCCAGTCCTGCCAGTCTGAGAGAGGAGAAGGTGCTTTGGAGACTCCCCAGGCTGAGTGACTGTGGGCACATCTCTGAAGTTCTTTCAGTCTGAAGGGATGCAAGCTCTGTGAGGTAAAGACTAAGGGGGAGCCCCATGACTCAGGAGAAATGAGGCTTCAGGCCTTAATTCCCCCAAAAGGTTTTCCCTGTCCATCATCCACAAGCTTGCTCTTTCTTAGTCCTCTTCAGCCAAAGCTAAGCTGACATGTATTAAAAGATTACTGACTTTAAGGTGCTGGAGAGATGGCTCAGCAGTTAAGACCACTGGCTGCTTTTCTAGAGGACCCAGATTTAATTCCCAGCTCCTGAATATGACTCACAACCGTCTGTAACTCCAGTCCCAGGCCATCTGATGCCCTCTTCTGGCCTCTGTGGCAATACATGCACATGGTACCCAAACATACATGCGGGTAAAACACCTACATACATAAAAAAATAAAAATATCTTTTTTTAAAAAAATGGGGATAAAAGTGGTTGGGCATGCCTATAATCCCAGCACCCAGAGGCAGAGACAGGCAGATCTCTGTGAGTACCAGGCCAGTCTGCCCTATATAGCAAGTTCCACAACAGTTCCCAAGAAAGCCGCTGATTTTTAAATTTTATGTTTTATTTATTATTATTATTGGGGGGATCACTGTGCCATGGCTTGCATGTAGAGGTCAGAAAACAACTTTGTGGAGTCATTTTCTTCCTTTAAAAATTTAAAATTGCATTTGTGTGCGTGCACGCGCACACACACACACACACACACACACACACACACACACACACACACACATGAACACATGCCACAGTGCATGAGTGAAAGTCAAAGAACAACTTTTAAGGGTGGATCCTCTTCTTCCTTTGACCTTTATGTGGGTCCTGGGGAATCAAAGGTAGGTCTTTATGTTTATGTGGCAAGTGTTTTACCTACTGATCATCTTGTTGGCTTGTTATTTATTTATTTATTTATTTAATTTAGTTGAGACAGGTTTTCTCTGCATAGCCCAGCTGGCCTTAAACTCACAGAGACCCTCTTGCCTCTGCCTCTGGAGTGCTAGGATTAAAGGTGTGTACCACCATGTCTAGCTTGTTTCCTGACTTCTTAAGGATTATCTATTTGTTTATTTACTTGAGATAAGGTCTTCTGTACCCCAGGCTGGCCTGGACCTCACTGTGTAGCCCAGGATAAACCCTGATCTTCCAGCCTCTACTTCCCAAGAACTTGAGATTACAGGAGTGAGCCATTGTGTCCAGCTTGTAAAATTACTTTTAATAATAATTTCGTGAAAAAATAAATAAATAATTTTATGAGTCAGGCAGTTGTGGCTCACACCTTTAATCCCATCATTTGGGAGGCAGAGGCAGGCAGATCTCTGAGTTTGAGGCCAGCCTGGTCTACAGAGTGAGTTCCAGGATAGCTGGGAAACCTGCTTGAGAAACCTTGTCTTGAAAACCCAAACCAAAATAAACAAACAAATAAATAAATTATGGACCTAGGAGTGATGGTTTATGCCTTTAATCCCAGGACTTGGGAAGCAGACATAGGCAAATCTCTGAGTTTATGACTAGCCTGGTCTACACAGTGAGTTCCAAGCCAGCCAGGGCTACAGTGAGACCCTTTGTTGTTTTGAAATCATTTTATGGGGCTGGGGAGATGGCTCAGAGATAGAGTGCTTGCTACACAAGCATGAGGACCAGAGACTAAATCCTTAGCACCCAAAGAAAGTGTTGGGGCAGTGTTGAGTCTGCAATCCCCTCACTGGGCAGCCAGAGAATGTGGATTTCTGCATCTCTGGATCTTCCTAGTTGGTCTGGCTAGTCAGTGAATGACTAACAATGGACAATGACCTCGTTTCCACACACACGTGCACAACATATGGGTACACAAAGACGTTTTATTTAACCTACTTTATTCAAAATATTATTTCAACATGCAGTGCATATAAAGTTATTGAGACAGTTTCCATTATTTTCTTCCACTAAGTCTTCAAGATCCAGAGTGTATTTTAAATTTCTGGCATATCTAACACAGCCACATCTCAAACATTCAAGAATTGAGACACTGTGGCAACCACACTACCTACAAAGTCTGTGGATTTCATCGTAGCCTGTCCCTCTGCGGGGTAGGAGGAAGTCAGCCTTAGCTGATAGAAACTATCACCTGGGGGTAACCCCTGCTCTGCCTGGGAAAACATTACTTCTGACAGATGGCAGCTTATCTCTCTTTCACCATTAACTCCCTCTCCTAAAAAAACAACCCAAATGATTGCTACCCCAGATGGGCTCCTGGGAAGAGGCTTGTAGCCACTAACTGACTCACCTGCATCTACTGTTCTGTCTGGAAATGCAGAGACCCGAAGATGGAAGAGAGATCCCCCTCCGTGGCCAGACATTTAGCTTGTTTCTCATGTTATGTCTTTGCTTTGGGGGGGGGCAGTTGTTCACAAGTCCCAAACTCTTTTGAGATTCTGTCTCCTACATCTCAGAAGGTCTCTTGCTGGGCACCATCTCTTCGAGCAAGGAAAGCTGGTGTGCACGTGTGGGGCGTGTGTGGGGCGTGTGTGTGTGTGTGTGTGTGTGTGTGTGTGTGTGTGTGTGTGTGTGTTGACATAGGCTCTTGCCCTTTCCAGGCAGCTATTTTGAGAACTGTGGTTTTATGTTCACTCACCCTTCTTAATTAGATACTAGAAGAACAAATCTTTCACTCAGTTCATCCACTTTCTCTTTCTGTATTCAGTCGAGAGTTAGAGAAATAATTTACAATTTATGAGGAGCCCAAGGTGAAGAGAAAATTGATCTACCTGAGGAAGTCATTCCAAAAAGGGAAATTCTGCCAGGGTGCTGGCCAGGTCCAGCATTCTGAGTTTGAGAATGTTCTTATCTTTGCAGAGATTGGCTCCCACCACGCTCTGGGGCACTTTCATATTTTAGGAAACCAGGCTTCCAATATCTAGTGTCTGTCTACCGAACAGACGGAATGCTTGGCTTCTGGGCCAGTAGGAAGACAAGCCTGCATTTTTCTACGCAAGCACAGAGTCTGCTCGAGCTGGGAGCTGGATTCTAAAAGACCCTGCACTAGGAACCTCTTTTGTGGTTTGCTCTAGCTAAGCAAATGCACGATTCGAGGTCGAGTGGGGTCAAGAAGAAAGGTTCATTTCAAATACAATTCGGCTCAGAAATCAGTCTTTAAGTCTGGTTAAATGATCCCCTGGAGACCCCAAATCCAAGTTCATTCAGCTGAAGAGTGGCTTCCACCTGTTTCTGTCTGTAGCATTTGCCTTCCTAGCCTGGAAAGGATTGTGTGTGTAGAGAGGCGGGGCCAGGGGCGGGGCGGGCAGAGGGGCGGGGCTTCGTTTCTCCGCCGCCCGTCGCCTAGACAACCGACTACAGCGAGATGGAGCCGTTACCCGGAGGGGTAGTGGGGCCGGATCCCGGAACTCTGAGCCCTGAGCAACTGGAACAGTTGCGAGATTTCAAGGTACGTGAGTCGGCGTCCCCTAATACCTGTTCAGATTAAAGGTCCCTCGGACAGGGAGGACTCCGGGAGAGGGCAGCGGGGCCTGTTCCCCCGAGATGAGTGCCAGAGGATAGATAGGTGGAATGTCCCTGAGCCCAACCCGCCAGGCATTTGAAAGCGTATGGCAATCAAGTAGGGGTCTGGCCAGAGAAGTGACAGGGGATGTAACTCAGTTTTGCACCAACTACCAGGCTGCAATCTTCTCTACCACCACCACCACCACACCACCACCACCACCACCACACCACCACCTCCCCCACCGCATAAACTAGCACTCCGAGGTAGAGCAAGAGGATCAGGAGTTCGAGGCCAGCTGGCTTCACCAAGCTCCAGAACAGCCCAGGCACTATGAAACTCTGCCTGAAGAGAAAAGAAATGGGGCTGCTTCAAAGGAAAATTTGAAGACTGTGCTTGGGCTTTCAGATACTCCAGGAAAAGACATGGCTTGTCCCCACCACTTCACACCTCCTTCCCGGGTTGAACCCTGGCTCTGTCTCCCCAGATCTTTGACTCTTGGTTGTTGTTCTTAGATCCAGACTCGGATCGCAAATGAAAAGTACTTGAGGACCCACAAAGAGGTGTCGCTGCTCATTAGTGGCTTCTTCAGGTAGGTGGTTTGACAGGCTGGCTTTAGGTAGCTAGTAAGAATAGATGAACAGACCCTCTAATAGCCACAGGGAGAATCTTCAGTTTGAGGCCAGCCTGAGTTACACAGTGAGACTCATACAAAAACAAAACACACCAAAACTGTTCCCTCTTCCTCTGTGTTTTTTTTTTTTTTCTTAGAAACAATTGCTTTACATGTCAACCCCAGTTCCCTTTCCCTCCCTTCCTCCCCTCCTCCCCTGCCCCCCACCGGTCCCCTATCCCATCCCCTTTCTGCTCCCCAGGGAGGGTGAGGCCTTCCATGGGGGAATCACCAAAGTCTGTCACATCATTGGGATCAGGGCCTAGACCCTCCCCTATGTGTCTAGGCTGAAAGAATATCCCTCTATGTGGAGAGGGCTCCCAAAGTCCATTCGTGTACTAGGGATAAATACTGATCCACTGCCAGAGGCCCCATAGATTGCCCAGGCCTCCCAACTGACACCCACATTAAAGTGTTTAGGTCGGTCCTATGCTGGTTTCCCAGCTATCAGTTTGGGGTCCATGAGCTCCCCCTTGTTCGGGTCAGCTGTTTCTGTGGGTCTCTCCAGCCTGATCTTAACCCCTTTGCCCATCACTCCTCCCTCTCTGCAACTGGATTCCAGGAGTTCGGCTCAGTGATTAGTTGTGGATCTCTGCTTCTGCTTCCATCAGCTACTGGATGAAGGCTCTAGGATGGCATATCAATCTCATTAAGGGGGGGGGCATTTAAGGTAGCCTCTCCACTATTGCTTAGATTGTTAGTTGGGGTCATCCTTGTAGATCTCTGGACATTTCCCTAGTGCCAGATTTCTCTTTAAACCTATACTGGCTCCCTCTATGATGGCATCTCTTTTCTTGCTCTCCTCTGGTCTTCCCTGATTCAATCTTCCTGCCCCCTCATGTCCTCCTCTTCTCCCCTTCTCCTCCTCCGAACTCCCTCTTCCCTCCTCCCAATTTTTTTTTTTTAAAGACAGGGTTTCCTATAGTCAAGTGTGGTCTCAAACTCATTATGTAGCATAGGCTAGCCTTGAACTTGTGGTAGTATCCTGCCTGCATCCTCCCAGGTGTTGGAACTATACAAATGCATCAGCCCAACTTGGTTTGGACCTCATAAAAGTTAGAAAATTCCCGAGATTCAACCTTTCATAACTCTACAGTTATCTCTATATCCTTTAAAATACTAATGTTCATTCATTTCAACTATAAAGATAAACATTAATATTTACCTCATGACACTGAGGGAACGTGGCAGAGGAGGAGAGTGTTCCAACTGTGCAGCCTTTTTTTTCTAGCCCACTTCAAACATTTTTATTTTATTAGCACTGTGTACAATACGCATGCTATGTGTGTGATATGTGAATGGAGGTATTTGTACGCCAGTCAGAAGACAACTGGGGGGAGTTGGTTTTCTTCTTCCATTCTTGGTTCTACAAGTCAAATTCAGGTTGTGAGACTTGCATGGCAAGCACTTTTATCCACTGAGGCTTCTCACTGGGTCTCTAAACATTTAACTTTAAATCCCCAAATCCTGAAATTAAAAGTATGCATTGGTGGCCATAAAGAAATTAATGACTAGCCAGGTGGTGGTGGTATACATCTTTAATCCCACTGTGCAGACTCTTGGCCCTTGCTTACTTGAGAACACTGTAGAAGAATGACAGGGAGCCAAGGCATAGGGACTTTGGGGGGACTGAGGCAGGAGGATCATGAGTTCAAGACCAGTCTGGA